AAAATTAATCTCAATCCATATCTCTGCCCATATACAAAAATTAACTCAACATGGATCATAAATCTAAATATAAATCCTTAAATTTCTAGAAGGAAACATGAGAAAATCTTAACAACCTCACAAGGATCTTGTAGATAGGACAAAAAACCCAAGCTGACCCATAAAAGAACAAATGGACAAAGTGGACGAAAACAGAAATGTAAAATCTTTGCTCTAGAAAAGACAACATTAGAAGAATAAAGAACCAAAATACAGATGGAGACAATTAAAAATGGGCAAGAAAAATTGGGCAAGAGACTTGAACACACATTGCATAGAAGTATACAAATGGCAGATAGGCACATGAGAAGATGCTCAACATCATTAGGCATCAGAACAGTGCAGGTTAAAACTGTACTAAGATACTTCCGTATACTTTCTACACACCATTGTGCCTATTAGAGTAGACAAAATGTAAAAGACTCAATGGTTGAGTGCCCCTGAGTTCAATCTCTGGTACTCAAAAAAAAAAAAAATTAATCTGTCAGTGACAGAGATCAGTGGTTTCAGAAAAAAGCGGCAAGCAAACTTCCTGCAGTGATGGACATGTTCATTGTTATTGATTGTGGTGATGTTTCACACGTGCACACTTGCATGACAAAACTTCCCCAAATGCACACTTTAGATATGTGCAATTTCTTGTATGACACTGTATCTCAATAATGCTAACTTTTAAAAAAATCTCATTTGGGGGCACAAATCTTTACTTGCATATCAAAGCACCCAGAATATTTTAAAAGTGAGTATGAGTTTGGGGAAGTGCAAGGTTTTTATTTTTACCTATATCTGAAGCACTCTTCTTCAGAATGCCCATCTTGTGCTTTTAGCTAGTTGAAAGTAAAGTGGAAATCTGAGGTTATTTTAGGTATTTATGATGTTTAGTGGTACCAGGGAAGATTTCCTAAAGACTAAAGATATCCAGTTCTTTGATTCTCAACCTTAGGGCTATAAGAATTTACCAAGTGTTAAAGAAAGAACATATATTTCTATGGGAAAAGATAACTGGGCTTAAATATATCAAAAGATAGTATACTTTTATGGTAGCCATGTTATTATGTTATTAATATATATCCTGAAACCATGTGAGTTGTCACATCTGCAGGGTTAGATAGTGATGGTGGCAGGGAGTAGAATTAGAAAGAGAGTTATAAAGAAACTAGAGATTTCAGAAGTAACTGAATTCAGAAATTAGGATAGCAATAGAGTTATTTCCTGGGAATTCATGTTTAGAAAGCAGGGTGAGGGGCACACCTGTTTGGGGGAAATCAGATGAATGAAAGAAGAAAACAGTTAAGTTGGGTTTGGAGTGGGTGTGGGCAGAGAAGTACTGGAATGGGACTTTGTACTTGTACCTTAGTAACCAAGAAAATAAGAGTATTTATTTGGTATGCTTATTATAGACTCAAAGATAAAATAAGTAAATTAGGATCACAAAAATTTTAGGGGAAACCCAATGACCTGCATAAATACTAAATTTTGTTTTACATACCAATCTCACTCAGCACATGTAGCTGAGTGAGGCTGGGTGTTTATAACTTGCATAACCACAGATAGGGTACCTTATTCAAACGTAAAAAATATGGTTTATACCATCCTGTGAATAGAGGAATTTGAGAATGCTATGTGCCTTATATCAAAACTCATGCACAACGTGCTATTTATTGCTGTTACAAAATGCTGACCATATTTCTCTAGAATATTATTTAATTTTGATGGCTTTTCAACTCTTCCTATTAAAATAGAAGTTTTAATAGAGAGTTTAATATGTTCTTTCTTTAACACTTAGTAAATTCTTATAGTCCTAAGAATGCCTACAGAGAGGACAGCCTTTGTGGGTAGCTGCATTAGATGAGAAAATACAAAGGTAGGAGAGGATAGGGCTAGAATAAGAGCAAGAAGCTACTGACCATGAAATGGATGAGGAGGATATACTATGACTCTTTAAAACTACTATTCTTACATTTAAAAAAACCTGGAGATTTCCTAATTTCTATCACAAAATTCTTCCATTGTATAGCAATGGTTTTAACTGACAGAGAATGGATAGAGAAGACCCACCTGGAATAAGAGTGCCAAGGGGAAGGGGGAGAAATAGGAGTGGGGTGGGGAGGAGGAAGAGAAGTATAGACAGGAGAAATCCTGCTCCTGAGAAGAAAAAATTATTTTTCTCTAAAATGTGGATATATCCCAAAAGTAGTGTGAGAGCCTTCTCAATGGTGATGACTATGGGGAATGATTTGGACTAGGTTAAGCATATTAAAGCCTAAATAAGTTTTCTCTCCTGGGCAGCTATTTTCATAAACACTGCTATAAAGTTTCTAATATTACAACAGGACTTAGAACATTCTATTAACTAGACGTACATATATTATTTTTTATGAGTTTAGAATGTGTCAATGGTTTCATTTTCTGATTCTATGTGTGCTGTCTGTTGGATATTACCACTTGACTTCTGTTTACACCTGTAACTTAACCCCATTAACCAAAATATTTACCAACTTTTGCAATTCCCTTCATTTGCTCCTCTCCTCCATCTGACTAAGACAGCCAGTTACTCCACTTTATCAATCCTTCCTTTGTAATTTCTCTCATATTTTTTCCTTTTAAAATTTTTATGGTGATCCTATAATCAGGCCTTGATTGTCTTGTGTGCATATTATAAAAACTTCAAACTGTTCTTCCTTTTCAGAGCATGGAGTCCTCCTGTGTGGGTAGAGTGGAGACAGGAGAAAGGGATGACTTTCCTGCCCCTAGGCATATCAAGTGAGTGCCAGCAAAGCAGCTCAGGATGGAGGGGGTGGGATGGGTGGAGTGGCTCTCTTCTCTGCCTCTTAGAAACTGGAACAGAGCAGAGATACTTAGGGACCCAAGGGAAAGGAGGACTGAAGCTGTAATTCCTGTTCCTTGGTATCCCCAGGTCAGAGCAGGGTCTTGGATACCTTGGCTAAAAATTTTCTTTTCACTTACTGTGGCTCCACCTAGATAGTGTATAAGTTTCTTGAGGACATATACTAAGTTTTTCCTTATACAAATTATTATAAAAAGGTATATTTGTTTTGTTGATATTGTAGATATAATTCTATTTCATTATTTCAGAGTCATATATTTCAGTTCCCCTTCAAGATCCATTTGGATGCCCTTTGGAGCTGCTTATATATTAGGTCATTAAGTTTCCTTGAATTCAATTGTATTATTTAGGGTTTATGGAACTTCCTCTACTCAAAAGGGTACTATATAGGAATAGAGGCCCTAAAAACGCTCAATAAAAAATTTGCCCTTGACAGTAATTCAGAACTTCCTTTTAAAGTTCATGTTTGAAAGCATGATTTTTTTTAACTTATTCTCAGCATTCAAAAAATTATTTTTTTATTCTTGCCAAGAATAAAAAATTTCTCATTTTAATGTCCCTCATGATCTTGTCAGATGCCACAGTACTTTAGGGTTTTTGAATTCATATAAAATATTCCCAGAGACTGCCTACCAATACCAACTCAAATTTTAATGCTGATCACTTTTTTTTTTGCAGTTCTTGTGTTTTCAATACTAGAAGACTTTGTGAGAGAAAAATGCAAAAAAAAAAAAGTCTACTTTTGCTTCACATAATCTACTTTTGTTACAAATAAATGGTCCTGAAGAATTTGAGTTATCAGCTTACCAGTTACTCTGCTGAGACTGGATAAACAAATGCTCCAAAGGCCAGAGTTTATGCCTCAAGTTCAGCTTGTAGTGTGACTGCCCATCCTGGATGTCATAGGAATTTAAACACTGAGCCTTAAAGGATGACACCCTCTATGTCTTTTTAAAAACAATCATAAAAATCACAAACTACCACATTAAAATCAAATTTGCAATAACAAAATTTTTAAAAAGTTAATCTTAACTTGCTTTTTTTAGTTCCTGAACTCTTGACTCCCAATCACTCCACTAAATACATATTCATTGTCAACTTTGCATTGTAAGAATCACTATGCACTGAATGAGCAGTCAGGCGATCTGGTTATGAGATCCAGCTTTGCAAATAATTTGCTGAATAATCTTGGGTCTGTCATTTACTCTCTCCAGTTCTCTATCTCATTTAATAATAAGAGGTTTGAAGCATTTAGATGATATCTAAGCTTGTTTGACTCAATGCTATGATTCTATTCCTAAAGAAAAAATCTGAATTAATTAGACCATTGAAATTCACACTTTCAATAGAGGGAACTTAACTAAATTTCATTTCTTTCTATACTATAATTGGACATATTGATACTGAATAAGGCAGTGGGGAGTTACACCTAAGCTTTAAGATTTCCTACTGATTCAAGTGGAAATGCTAAGGTATTAAGGTATTCTTTCTTCTAGCCTGATTCAACCTTAGTAAAAGATATAATTCCTTTTTGGTAAAAAGAAGAGAGTCTTGGTTTAAACCAACATACAAATTAGTGGAACATATATCAGAGCGTAGCCTCACAAGGCTCCATCCTTGACCTGTTGAACTTTTAACATTTTTGACAGTGAACTGAAGGAAACATATTTTCCAAATCAAACTTAGGAAGCATTAATGGGTTAAGACAACAGAATTAAGAATCAGGAGGATTTGAAAGAATCTCTCAATGAATTAAAAAAAAAAGCCAATCAAATAAAAACCAACCAATCAACCAAACCAAACCAACAACCCACAAAATCCAAACCAAGAAGATGGAAGTTACCAGGAATGAAGGTTAAATCCTGTGCCTCACACTTGGTACCCCAAACTTATCACCTACTCCCCACCAATAAAAAGAATGAGGACAAAATTGCTTGAAAACTTGCATGAGCACCTCCCCATCATCCCAGTCTCACTCAATGACGTTCTACATGGAGCTGATGGTGCTGCACAAAATCTTAAAAGGTGAATACGTGATTGCATTGCAGTCACAAGAGTGCACAAATCGAAGAAACAAAATGCTCCCTTATATTTTCTACAAAGCGAACCTCACCTGCAGTTATGGATCTAGTTAAGGGCACCATACTTAATAAGGCTGTGGCGAATCCTTCTTGTCACGTCGTCCCTAGTTGGAGATTTTGGATAGGTAATTTTGCAGCCACATCACATGAATAGTGCTTGAAGGGTCTAAGGAGTCCAGTTTGGAGAGAGTAAACATAGGAAGCACGCAAAGGGAATGTCTAAGAAGCAAGCAAGCAAGCTGTGCGAAGAGGCTGGCAGCAAGGGCCCTCAGCACCCCGCATCCCCGCACCCCGGTGCGCGGGTGACCAGCTGCACCGCATGGCTCTGTGCGGTTCCAGGCGTCTGCCCCGGCGCGGCCCCACCGGGATGGCGGTGACGAGCCGTGACGACTCAATGGTTGCCTGGGCGCGACGCAGGGGTTCGTAGTCGAGTGCGGCGTGGCAGGTCTCTTCGAAGCGCCTCTCCTTTGGAGCCGGGGCTGTGAGCGTGCATTGGGCGGCCGTCGGGGCCGAGAACCATGAGCCCCGGGGGCGCGGGCAGCTCCGCAGGGCTGCTACTGACCGTGGGCTGGCTGCTCCTGGCGGGCTTCCAGTCCTCGTGTGGGACCAATGTCACCGCCATCCAGGAACCCCCCTTGGTCCACGAGGCCCACGAGGTCCACGAGATCCACGAGGTCCACGAGGTCCACGATCCCCACGAGGGCCCCGAGGCCCACGAGCCCCACGAGGCCCACGAGGGCGAAAGCGAAGGCGATAGCGATAGCGACAGCGACAGCGAGGACGACACCGGTGACAACGAAAGCGAAGGGGACAACAACGAGGGCCCTCTGCCTGATAACGAGGAAGCTGGTGAGAGCAGGAGGCTCCTTGACAGGCGCCCAGAGGCACCTGTTGAGAGCAAAAAGCTGACTCTTTATTTGCCGAATAATAATGAGAATCACCTTTGTTACCATTTATAGAGCTTTCTTGCATATAACAGCCCTGCGTTTATCCATTTTGTGCATCTTATTGCTTTGAAGAAGGATGTGCTGATTGTCCAAGCAAGATAACCAAATAAGCATATGTAGAAGCCACTTAAGAAATAGTTTTCAATATTGCTTTGGAGAAAGAAAAACTTTTTTTTTTAAAGGGGTGAAAGTAGCTTCCTACCCAGAGGAAATCTTGGTTTTTACTCTTGTTGCAATAATTTCCCCTCCCCATTGTAGTTTTTGTTGTTGTTTTTAAAGTTCGAAATTGCTGGTAGCCCTCTTTCTTTCCATATTTCCCCTTCGGGTGGGAACTCAATGGAATTTATAATTCCCTTTACCGTGACACATCTAGATAGCCCACAAAACTGCCCATGTATAGGCCATGTCACCTTTGTGCAGCCCCTTACCACTGAGCACTTCCACACTGTTGTAGTGTTTTATTTGTATGTTTAGTTTCAACAAAGGAATGGTGGCAGTAGAAAACATTTATCAGGGGATTCAACTAATGGCATTGTTAGATGATAACGTATTAACCAAGGGAGAATGAGCCTGTGCTTGGTACATAAATTTGCCTTATACTGTTGGCTCATTAAGCAATAAAACTTGACAAGCTGCTGTACATGTTATATTGATTAGTAACTCACATGCTGGTGGGTAAAAGGTCAGTTGCAGGTTTGCAGTCTTCAAAAGGATGATTCCCTTTCCCCATAAATGATCCAGCTGATGCTAAATTCTTTTAGTATCCTTAGCATTCTTTTGTCTCCTCAATCTATATGTACGGAGTGGGTGCTGTGTCTATCAGCCTTTGTTTCATTTCCCAATGATAGATAGTGACCCTCAGCATGGAAAGAAATTGACTATCTGAGTTTAATAGTGGGATCCAGGCTTGAACTGTCTTGATTACATTATAGAGAGTTTGAAAAGGTCCTTGACTTTGGAAATGTGAAAAAGAAAGATGAGAAGGGCAGCATATGTTCTAAAGCAGTGTAGCTATTGCTTCAGTATATTTTTCAAAAAAATTGAGTGAGTGATTTTAGTGTTAAACTAATGAAGGGATACTTCTAGCTGTAAAATGATAAATATTATTAAGTTAAACCCAGGTGATGAAGTTACAATGCCTTACATTCAAACTCAAGTGTAAGTAAGTTACTTATTCTCTCAGTGTCTAAGTTTCCTCATCTGTGGACTTGAGAGATGTATAATTTCATGCATGGGTGTTTTATCCGGGTAGATTGAGAATCTAGAACTATAAACAACCAGAAAGTTTTCAGGACTCTTGTTAAAATTTGCACAGCTCTTCTAATTCTGGAGGACTAGTAAAATCAGGCATCCCCATTACTATCCAGTGAACTATTATGTTTTTCACTTTTAAATAATTTTACAAATAATTTCCAAAAGCAAGAATAAAGGGTTAGTGAAAACAACTTTGTTAGAAATTTTAATAAAAATATAAACACACCAAAACCCCAATTTTTATTCCTTGTATCTTAGTTTTGAAGGTATTCATAACTTAACTTGAAAGAAGTTTGAATAAAAGTAAATGCTCAAACTGTTAAGCCATGAACCTGTAATATATCCATCATATAAATACTGATTCCAGATTTCAAGTACTTCTCTCATAAAGTCTGGATTATTATTACTCTGGTTCTTTTTGCACTTATATTGTCAAAGCACAATACTTTTGAAAACTTTGATGGTACGTATTTTGTTAAAGAGATGAATGCCATCTTTTTGCTGCATAATTGCAGAACACTTTCATTTTCAGTTTATAAACAGCAATTGAAATGATTAATTCAATGAGTTTTTTATTTTTTATTTTTAAGCTAGCAAAATTTTATTTAACAAAACTAATTTAGTATAACACATGATCATTATCTTTTTTGTTGGTTTTATTTTTTAAATACATGACAGTGGAATGCATCACAATTCTTATTACATTCATAGAACAAGTTTTGATATCTCTGTATATAAAGTATGTTCACACCAACTCATGTCTACATAGATGTACTTTAGATAATGATGTCCATCACATTCCTCCATCATTGCTAACTCCCTGACCCCACCCTTCCCCTTCCACCCCTCTGCCCTACCTAGAGTTCATCAATTCCTCCCATGCTCCCTCTCCCTTCAATGAGTTTTATTCATTTCCAAGCCATCTATTTCCTTCCAGTCATCTTTATTTATACGTGTCATCATAGTCTGTCCATTTTCAAATCTTGTCAAGTAAATCTTTATGTATAAACATCGTGCAAAAAAAAAAGAATACTGTCCACATCCTTTTAGAAAACAGTATGGTCTTGTTGTCATAAAATATTTCAAGATCAAATTCTTCCTATCAAAAATATAACTGGATGAGAATACCATATTTTCTTTCATTCTTAGAAATACAATGCTCACTCCTTTTTTTTAAAAAAAAAATTATCCAGGATAGTCACCTAAGATACTATCATCTCTCACTGAGATTCTGTTTATACAAAAAAAAAAAATCAATTTCACCATCACCATTTTCATCTAAAGTTCTGCTCTCTGTGTTCATCTTCTGACTCATTCAATAATTTAGAAATGTTTTTCTCCATCAATTTTCTTCCCTACCATTATGGTCAAAAAATGAAAAATTCTAAAGTTTATATTTTATTTAATGAAAACCAGAAATAGCTACATGAAAAGTGTCTTTAGACTTGTTTCATAAGAAAACTGATGCAATAGCTATGATTTACTTCATAATTACATCATCTTTTTAGGCAATGCCAATCCTTCTTCAATTTTATTATTTTATCTTTTTAAAAAATAGTTGTGAATAATTAATGAGTGTGATGATAAAATAACATCATTACAGATGATAAAATAATAAAATGTTTCAAAATAAAGGAAAATTATGAATATATTAGGTTTGTATCCTTATGCCTTTTATCCTTTTATATATCTTTAAAATTATATTTATACTGTGTGTGTGTGTGTGTGTGTGTGTGTGTGTGTGTGTGTCATTAGATTTCAAAGGGTCCAAAAAGCTGGGCACAGTGGGACATGCCTATAATCTCAGCACTTGGGAGGCTGAGGCAGGAGGATCACAAATTCAAAGTCATCCTCAGCAACTTGGTGAAGCCCTAAGCAAATTAGCAAAACTCTTGTCTCAAAATTAAAAATAAAAAAGGGATAGGGATGTGGGTCAGTGGTTAGTGGAGAAGCCTCACCACATTCTTGCCTCTTATTGAACTAACTGTTGGATTCTGTTCATTTTTTTTTCCCTTTTTTTTCCTATCAAATTAAGACAATCCATACAATATTTCTGATAGTTAACTTTTGAGCTCTAGGTATAGGACTTTTTATTCTCCTAAGATTTCTTTTTTTGGCATTTGTCCATTCTTCACCCTTTCATTTTTAGATACAGATTTACATTTGAACACATTTGAACACAAAACTTCATAGCTTTGCAGAATTCTGGATTCAGTCAGCATGATATCAGGGTTCTTTTTTTTCAGGTCATAAATAAAAATGTTGAACAGGACAGAGCCCCATGACACATCACTTCTACCACATTCCCGCCAACTGACGAATTTGCATCTGTGCATCATCCTGTTTGGCCAATTATACATCAAACTTTGCTGACATTCAGATCATATTTTCCCTTTTTATTCATTGGTGTATAATGGGAAATTTTTACAAATGTCACATTGAAATCCAGATACATATAGTTACAAAAAAAAAAAACATTGAAGTGACCTAATGGACATTTAATACATCAAAGAACATTAAAGCTAAAAAGGACTTTAGAGGCTTCTGATTCAATCTCATTTTTTTCCTATAAAGAAGCTCAAGTTAGAAGAAATTGAATAATTTCTCAAAGCAATATAGGTGGTAAATAGTAGAGCTAATTGAGTAATGGATTGTGAAAAGAAGCTGTGGGTAGTCTAGTACTTATTCTCTTACCTATGTTTTTTATGTTCAGGCTTAAGCTTTTAACTTATTTCTTATTATGTGCCAGTTGAAAGTATTTAAGCATTTCAAGCATAAAAAGTCAGTTCAAAATTAATAAGTTATGATAGTCTAATTCATTCATTTAACAAGGTCAATAACTGATTTACTTATATGTATTGAGTACCTACTGTGCATTCAAAGTAACTATATTTGATGCTTGTGAGTACAGAATGAAAAGCTTATGGAACTATTGAGGTTTTACAATAATTCAAAATAGGAAAAATATCAATACCATGTGATATTAATAACTACAAAACAAGTTTAATTTGCATAATTATGACAACTTTGGCATATTTGTAGTGCTAAACAATTTATAGAATTATTTTGTATGCATTATCTTATTTAATTCCAACAATATCAAATCAGATAGGGTTTCCTTTCCAAATGTAACAAAGGCTAACTAGGTATGACAGAATTTAATTAATTTGCCCAAACTCAAAGAGCTTGTTAGTGTTAGAAGTAGCTTTTTGGACTTGAAATTCAATCTACTTTTCTATGTGATTTGTTGCCCCGAGATACATTGCCTTTTATAATTTTTTTCTTATACCTCATTTGTTTTTTTATAGAGAGATTTCAGTCCTAATCTGAGCTATGAAGAATTGGTTATATAAGATATTTAGTGGAATTCATGCCAACTTCTTCAAATGATTAGAAAAAGAGAACGTGATTTAGAACCAAGAATTTTTAGCTTCTCAAAGTTGTATACTCTGTGATTATCCTGCTAAATAAAGCATTGAAATATGTTCTTAGAACTATTGAAATTTTCCATTTTAATCTGGAAAGTGAGTAAAACCAATCCATCACTTATAACTTTAATGAACAATTGGCATAAGACTTCTTTTTGGATGAAAATTATTCACTGTTTTTTGTGAGTTTTTGAAAAAAAATTTATTTCTTTTAATTAGAAAAAATTGTTCTTATTTCTTAAAATTCTAAGGCCTTTTGTATTTTTGTGATTTTCAATAGACTTTTAACTCACCATGTATTAACTGATGAAAAAAAACCCCTTAAGTTATATACAAGTTTTAAATATAAACCTTCTTTGCAGGTTATTCCCTAGTTTCATGAACTTCCTTAAAAGTTCAGGCTTCTTTTGATTTAGATAATAGTAAATGCATGAGAAATGGCTTTGCTCCTCTGGTTTAATAGATTTTTTAAAAAATTACCTGCTGCCTATATGTTAAGTATTTGTATCCCCCATCCCAAGTAAGAGGTTTTTCACTTAGAAAAGTCTTCATATGATTAAATACTGTATCTTTATACTTTATATTTAGGTCCGAATAAAACAATAGTCAAAGAAGTTGAATTTGGAATGTGCACAGTCACGTGTGGTAAGTAGAAAAGAGCAGGCGAATAATCTAATTTTGGGGGGAGGGAAGGTAAAAACAGATAATGTGGTAATTGTTTACTTGTAATTTGTATACTTTCATTCATCTCTCATTGCTTTCTATGTCTAACAACTATAATTTACACACAACACTCAGCTGATTTGCTTCAAAACGCAAGATATTTCCAGTTTGCAACCCCCAAGTTTTATTTTAAGCTAACTCCCTATTATTTTTTTGGCACATAAACTGTCTTCACCAAAGTGAAATCTTCTCCATTTCACAGATGTTCATAAGATGAGAGATTTTCCAATGCATCTCACAGATGTCTTCCCACATAATGTGCTGGCAAATCTATCAAGAAATATGCTTATTTGTAATCATCTATTCCAATTTCTCCAATTTATACGTCATGTTTTTTTGGGGGAAAAAGTATTGGCTTTGGGGGAAAGATGATGTTAAAAGAATAAGACTTATGTTGATCATTCTATGGACGGAAATTGGACACAAAATCTCTTAACACGGGGGTAGGATTAAGGCTTATATGCAATTATAGGTCAATGTTTCTCAAACATCTATTCCAAGTGCCTAAAAGGTTTATTAAAACAGTTTGTGGGGCCTACTCAATAGTTTCCAACTCCCTAGACCTGTGGATAGGCCTAAGAATTTGCATTTCAGCTGACAATGAAGCTCAGCCTGATGGTTAAAGGTGCATCTTTTAATTTTTTCTAGGTATTTTCATTCACACATTATAATTATACATAGTAGTGGGATTTGTTGTTTAATGTTTATACATATATACAATACAACAATATAATTTGATTAACTCATTATCTAGTTCTTCTCCATTTCCTCCTTTTTTCCTTCCTCCTGGTCCCCTTCTGTTTTCGTGAGATCCCCACCCGGACCTTTATTTATTTATTTTTCTTCCTAGTTTCTTCAAATGAGAGAAAAAATAAGAACCTTTGACTTTCTGAATCTGCCTTATTTTACTTAACACAATGCCCTCAGTTTCATTCATTTTCCTGCAAATGACATAATTTCACTCTTTATGGCTGATAGAGGACTACCCTTTGATAACCCCTGCCATAAATGAGGGCACTGAGAAACATTAGATAATTAACAATGAAATTAAGTTCATCTTAAGTGGTCTGCTGTAGACAAAGTGACAGTGACCAGAAGAAAGGGAGAACAATAACTAGAGGATAAGAAGACAGAAAAATTCATGCAGATCTTGATCAGAATTTTTGGGAGTTGGGCTGGGGATGTGGCTCAAGCGGTAGCGCGCTCGCCTGGCATGCGTGCGGCCCGGGTTCGATCCTCAGCACCACATACCAACAAAGATGTTGTGTCTGCCGAGAACTAAAAAAATAAAATATTAAAAATTCTCTCTCTCTCACTCTCTCTTTAAAAAAAAAAAGAATTTTTGGGAGCAAACTTTTGGTCAAAAATTATACCTGAATTGTTTTTACTTGAGGTAGCTTTTTAAAAAAATTATGATAAAATACATCCAAAATAAAAATTACTATTTTAACCATTTATATATATAAAATCTAGTGACCTTAAGCATATTCATATTATTGTACAATCATCACCACTATCCATTTTGAACTTTGTCAACACCATGAACTAAAATTCCACACCCATTTAAACTAACTTTCCACTTTTTCCAGTTCCTGGCAACTACTCTTCTTTCAATCTCTTAAAGTAGTTTTAAACCTGGTTTTTACTTTATATAAGTAAGAGTCAAAATTAGGGGAATCTATGTAATAAACATATGATTACTCATTTGTAGCTTATATCTTTCTCTTGCTACTTGCTTGAAATTTTTTGCAGGTAAAAAAATTATTTTTTATGACAGCTCCAATAATTAATGTTTTTTATTTGTTAAAGGCATGCTTTAAAAATTGTATATTTATTCTCTCAAAAATTGATTTTTTTAAATCAAGGTGGGTTTTTTTTGTTTTTGTTTTTGTTTTTGGTTACTATGTATCAGGCATTGTTATAGGGGCTATGGATAAAATAGTGAAAAACAAAACAAAAAACTTTTTACCTTCAAAGAATGTATATTTTAGTAGGACAAGACAAATAATATGTTAGTGATAAACTAGGTGGTTATAAGTTCTAAAGAAAAAATAAACCAAAAATGTAATATTTCAGATCTAAAATGTTAAAAGTATTGTCAGTTTATATTAACTACATAGAAAAGAAAAAGGTTTTAGTGAAAATTCTATTTAACTCCTAAAAAATATTTTAACACTTAGACACTTTTTTCCAATATTTTGGCAGATATTTAGGTGTTACTTGGAAAATCGCATACCTACCACATATCTCAGTGAGCTGTATTTAAATAAGTATATAAAATACCTGATTGGAAAATATTTGTGCATTTCAGAATAAGACTGTGCCTCTAAAGAAGCACCTATTATAAATTCAAGTGGAGCCATACGAAAGCCATTCTCAGCCATCTCTTTTAATTAATTTGTTTCTTTATTTTGCCATTACTAGGGATTGAACCTAAAGTTTCATACATGCTGGACAAGTGTTCTGCTACTAAGCTACATCCCCAGCCTTATTTATTTATTTTTTTTTAAAAGGCAGAGTCTCACTAAATTGTTGAAGCTGGCCTTGAATTGATGATCCTCTTGCCTCAGCCTCCCAAGATTCTGGGATTACAGGCATGCACCACCGTGCCTGATTCAGCTCCCTCCTAATCAAAAGACACTTTCACCTTCCATCCTCCTGTCCCATAGGAAGTCCTCTCTCCTTACTCAGACTGTGGTCCATAAAATGGCTACATTAGCATCACCAAGGAGCTTGTTAAAAATGCATAATCTTAGACATACTCAAGACAGACTGAATCAAAATTTGCATTTTAGTAAGAACTCCATGTGATTTGCACTATTGTAAGCCACTGTTCTAATCTTCAACTTTTCTATCCCTTGAGAATGGGTTTTATGATTAATACCTTGTAGAGGCTGAAAGAGGTAATCTGGTAGACAAGGAAATCAAGGAATCTTGCTTAGCTTGTGACCTTGTAGTCTTAACACCAAATGTATTCAGCAGTGTTGCTGATCCAGAATTTATCATCTCCCTCAATTATTGCAATTAAAGCTTGACTCAGAATTCTAGGATTGGTTAGTAAAAGATTTGGTTTCTTGTAACAAAAATTATCTTGTTGGAAATGGAGATTTGGTTGTTAATAAGTTATCTTGTCTATATTTAACACAGAGACTATCAATCTAAATATTAAAAAGTATCATTTATGGTAAAATATTATTTTGGATTTTTCTCCAGAAGTTCCATGCCCCCACTCTGAAAAGGTTCACAGTCAAATTAAGTTTGGAAAATTCTGTGTACTACTGTGTTTCATCAAACCTAATTTTATTTGCTGTAAGAAGCACATTTTATGTATTCTAAAAAGAAAAAATGCTGTCATACCACAGTTATATTAATGTATTCTGATTTCAAAGATGTTAACATGTAAAATCTTTGCATCTTAGATTAACAAGAATTTATACATAATAGCATACTAATTTATTAGCATATTAAAAGTTTCTAAAAACTTCTGTAGTAAAGACATCACATGAAGAGAGAGAGTGTACAGAATGGGAGGAAATCTTTGTCAGCTGTTCCTCTGACTGGGGATTGCTATCCAAAACATATGCACAACTAAAACCACCTAACACCCAACAAACAAACAACAAATATCCTTGGTTGGGACTGTAGCTCAGTGGCAGAACACTTGCCTCTCGTGTGAGAGGCACTGGGTTTGATCCTCAGCACCACATAAAAATAAACAAAATAAGGCTGTGCTATCCATCTACAATTACAAAAAAAAAAAAAATTAAGAAAAAAGAACAAATATCCCAATCAATAAACCAGCAAAAGAACTACACAGACATTTCTCAAAAGATGCACAAAGAACCAATAAATATATGATAAAATGTTCAATGTCCTAGCAATCAGGGCAATACAAATCAAAACTACATTGAGAATTCATCTCAAACCAGTCAAAATGCCAGTTATCAAGAACACAAAAAATAATAAATGATGGCAAAGACATGGGGAAAAAGTACACTGTGTACTGTTGGTAGAACTATAGATGAATACAACCGTTCTGGAAAGCAATAGGGAGATTTCTCAAAAAACTAGGAATGGAACCACCATATGACTTAGCTCTCCCACTTCTTGGTGTTTACTGAAAAGAATTAAAATCAGCATACTATAGTGATATAGCCACCTTGATGTTTATAGCAGCACAATTCACAATAGCCAACTTATGGAATCAACCCAGGTATCCATCAGCAGATGAATGGTAAAGAAAATGTAGTATCTATACACAATGAAGTCTTACTCAGCTATGAAGAATGAAATTATGGCATTGTCTGGTAAATGGATGGAAATGAAGAATTGTGCTTAGCCATTCTCACAAAATCAAGATTTAAATATTTCTCTCATAGATAGAAGCTAGAACAAAACAAGGGAAAGAAGGAGGGGGGAATTGGATATTATAAAGATATAGACAAAGTCCATGGAGTAGAAGAAGATCAGAAGGGCAGGAGGAGGGACAATAAAAAAAGGAAGGAAATGTGGAATGAATTTAACAAAATCACGTTAGGGTTAGGTGCATATATAAACACAGCACATGGAATTTCACCTTTACATATAAGTAGAAAGAACCAATCAAAAATAAATAAGTAAATGAGACAAAGGAAGATCAGTAGAGAAGAGAAAGGAGGAGTATATGGAGAGAAAGGAGGGGAGGGAAAATCTGGGGAATGGGAACTGAAATCAAATTCCACGTATGTATGGTTTTGTCAGAATGAACCCAACTACTACTATGTATGATTATAATGTGCCAATAAGATAGAAAAAGAAAAAAGAGGTCCTTTTCATTTTATTTAACGTACCATTTTCAAATGCATAGATGATTGTAGAATGACTAGTGTTTTATGTAACTTATTTGAGAAAATACTGTTTTTATGAAATTATTGCGAACAAGGAGCTGAAGAAAATTCTAAATGTTATCATTGCGAATTTAGGAGTTAACTTTCTGAAATTAAGAGAAAAGTTTAAACAATTAATAAATTTTAAAAAGGAAGCAAGAAAAGATAAGCCAGACCTGGGTGAGAAAGTAAAAACCTTCTTCAATTCGTGTTTTTTTTTTTCTTAACATTTGCCCATTTCTTTCTACCTAAGGTGTTGGTGTTAGAGAAGTTATATTAACAAATGGATGCCCTGGAGGCGAATCCAAGTGTATTGTTCGAGTAGAAGAATGCCGTGGACCAGCAGATTGTGGCTGTAAGTATTGGCGGGTGACAGAGGGGAAGAGTTCACCTCAGGGAAACACCCTTACCTCAGATTGCCACTGAATACAAGGAGACAGCCAGTGGATGCGTTGAAAGGAAATCTACAATTTAATTTCCATTCTCTAGATACTTGTAACTGTGAGTAACTTTCTGCTTTTGCTTTACATTTTTCAGTGACATCTAAAATTTAAAGATATATTATCTGCTGTATACTGGACCCTCTCTCTATACTTGGGGTCTGTGGTTGAGTCTGTCCTCAAGTGGAACACTTTTGATGTTTTGGTCATGGCATTTTATCAGTGGGTTGATAAATCTTAAATTGGGAACTTTGAGGTCTGTTTTGCATCCAATTATGCTATTCTGACATTTTAATATCTCTAATGAGGTTTCCTAACCAGTAAATTGGAAGCCACTAGCAGACCTCAAAGTTCAGTGTAACAGATCACTGATTGCCCTTACCTCTTCTCTAGAATTTATTCTGCATTAAAAAACTGAGAGACATTGTGTCTCCTCCCTTGCTTTTTTTGGTGACTTTATTGTTGTCCTCATCACTCTTCCCTTACCCCACTACATTCCAGCTCCCAATTTTAAGATTTGGTAACTTGCAATATCTAATTGATTTTTATGACTGGGAGTGACTTTTAAAAGTAATGGCATATGTAAAGCAACTTATAATGCCCAATGATATTTATGTATTTGATTTTTCTTTTGTTCAGGGGGTAAACCAATTTCAGAAAGTCTTGAAAGTGTTAGATTGGCATGTATTCATACATCTCCTGTAAATCGTTACAAATATATGTGGAAACTTCTAAGGGCAGACCAAGTAAGTAATGAACATATGTAATCTGGTGCTTTCCTAGTGAGTGATAAAATTTGTATCCCAGTTTAGATAACTCTCAGAAAACTCTCTTTAAAAGCATTTTGCAAAAGAGGAAAATATTATTGGAATTCAATTTTTTTTCACTATTCAGTGAGATTTAAGACATTCTATATGTCTAAAGTCAACTAGAAATAGAACTTTTAAACATCCATATAATATGAACTATTTTTATTTTGTAAGTAAGGTTTTTATTTATTTTTAAAGGAGTTGTATATTAATGGCAGTAGCTAACACTAGTTAAAGAATTTTGCCAGAGTAGCTTAACCCCTGAGCCACATCCCCAGCCCTTTGTATTTTTTATTTTGAGACAGGGTTTCACTAAGTTTCTCAGGGTCTTGCCATGTCACTGAGGCTGGCCTCCAACTTGTTATTCTCCTGCCTCAGCTCCTTTAGTAGCTGGAACTACAAACATGCACCAACGCGCTCTTCTTAAGCATATAACAACCCTACGGTTGCTATACCATTGTATAGATAAGTAACTGATGTGTAGAGAATAACTTGTCTACAGTCATACAGATAGGAAGTGGTAGCATTGAGATTTGAAGTCTGGATTTTCTGACTCCAAAATCCATGTGCACAATTAATTAGCATACTAGGCTCCAAGAGTCAGTGACTCTTCTTTTTTTGAAGGAAGTAATGGTTTTCTGACCTTAAGTGTAGGGAAGAACATTGATACTTTGTTTTGTTTGTTTGTTTGTTTTGTTTTGTTTTGTTTTGTTTTGTTTTAATAGCAACCTGTTATACTTGCAAATGATTCAGCAATCCTGGATGTACAAAGAGATATCCACCCCTTGGCTTTCCAGTGTGACACCATGGATAATTCTGAAATGGTAGCATCTATTAAATTCACAGTCTATACATCTAATGGTAAGTGCACAGCAATATTTTGGTTTGTTTATATCTTACACTTCAAAAAGCATCAAAATCACCTGGAGAGCTTGTTAAGACACAAGTCTCTATCCAGCCCAAATCAGAGCTTCTGTTTGTTTGAGTAGGTCTGGACTAGAAATGGCATGCAAATTTGCCTTTCTGACAAGTTCCCAGGTGATGCTGTTGCTGCTGGTGTCCATGGTGCTGAGAAACACTGGTTTATATCATTGACGCTTTTCTACCAGATAATAATTAACTTCTTTTTCACAAAGTAGCATTAAATGTGGCTCACTTTGGGAAAGTGGTCCTTTAAGACTAGGCTTTTAACTTGAAATATACATATTCTTGCATTTACTTCCATCATAAAAGTGAAAGTGGATTAATGGAATTCTCATGAATGCTTACAAAACTCTTAGCACAGAAAAATAATAAAATTAATTTAAAAAATTAAGAAACACGAAGTCAGAGCACTTTTCTTTCAAAATTATCTATTTGAAGAAAATATTTTTTTGATAATGCAGTAATGCATGTCTCTGTGTCACAAAAGGCAAATCTTGTCCTGAACATAATTTTACATGTTGTACATTGTTTCCCTTGTGAGATGGATCTGCATTCATGTCCTTTCAGTTTAATCTATGATGTCTTTTGTATCCAGGTAATCATTTCCTTTTATGTGGGTGCTCTTAACCATTTATAATGTTGTCATTTTTGTTAGAGGCGTGGGGGACTTGATCACAAGTTCTTTTGAGAATCCAATCAAGGCTCTGGATCTTCTTCAGAGAAAAATGTTCAATATACAAACATGGCAAAAGTTATATGTAATTTTAAGAGAGCTTATGGATTTCCTGAAGCTATTTTTGTACCCCAGGTAAATGGCTTCCACTATTGTCTAGAGATACCAAACACAATGTAATGTGGTATCTTTATTCAAATGAGAACAGGGTAAAGTGTTTTGGGGGTGATTCTAAAAAATAAACTATTTACTATTTAAACTTCCTTTGATGTGCTATTTAGCAACTTAAAAAAATCTTCATGGTTAAAGCTAATAACACTAAGAGGATAATTTCAATAAAGTACTAAAAAACGACAGAAGAGAGGACCAAAGTAGCAAACTAAAAAATATCTCAGCTAGCCTTAGTTTATGATATTATAAAAGCCGCTGGACCATTCTTGGCCCTTGTACTCACTTCCTGGATCCTGGGAGAACTGGTTAGTAGTGAGTAGTTTAAACTACTCTCCACCTTCTCTTGGCTAATGTTGCAAGATGCTACATACTCCTCTCATGACTAGAAAGGAGAATGCATTTGCTAGGATGCAAGTTAAGGGCTGGAGAACAGAACTCAAAATGTGCCTGTCCTTTATTGAGATGAAGTTAACTTTGCAGCCTAGGGGTGGTGGGGTAGCTTTGTTGTCTTAGTGCATGCAGTAGTTGAACAACAAAATGTTCTCAGAACACGATTAGATTCTTTCAAAAATTACAATTTGGGTACACCACTGTAAAAGACCCTTTTGACTGTTTAGACATCAAACAAATGTTTGGGTTAGAAATGTCCACATAGTATTGTATTGGCTTCCATTTTATATATCACATTTTTCACTCCCATAAGAGCTGTCTTTCATAAATAGGCCTTGTTATGGCTTGGTTTGTGTGCCCTTTCCCCAGAAAAGAGACTTTGAAGTCTTGCCTTTCCCAGTACTCAGAATGTGGCCATAATTGGAAAGACCATCATTGTAGATGTAATTAGTTAAGATGAGATCCTAGTAGAGTAGGATAGGCCTTAACCCAATGTGACTGGTCTCCTTGTAAGAAGAGGGGAATTTGAAGAGGGGAGAGAGACAAAGGCAGAGGAATGCCGTGTGAAGACATAGGCATATGAGGAGACGGGCACGTGAAAACAGACAGAGATTGGACGTATGCTACCACAGACCAAGGAACATCCGGGGCTCCCAGAAGCTGGAAGAGGCAACACAGGATCCTCCCTTAGACCCTTCAGAGGGATCATGGTCCTACCATCACAATTCCCCCCTTATTTTTTTTTTGCCTCCAGACCTATGAAACAATAAATTTCTGTTGTTTTTAAGTCACATAGTTTGTGGTACTTTGTTATGGTGTCCCGAAGACATTAACACATACGTAAGCTTTGTTTATATCTAAAAAGTGAGTGAATTGAAATTTGACTTATTTTCCATTAGAAAATTTCAGTAGATGTAAAAGCAGTCTAGGTAACCCTTGAGAGAAGATTACTGTTGTAATGAACTAAAATCTTTATATGCCTCATTCTCTACCTTCTCTCTCGGCTAATGTTACAGGATAGTACATAAATGGAAACTAATTTTTGCATTTCTCCTCAGGTTTTAGTTCTCAAAGGTTTTTTTAACTTTAAGTTTTTTTTTTTTAAAAAAAAAACTCACTCTGTATATCTAACATTATTTCACGATAAAAAGATTTTTAAATCTACCAAAATTGGGATACAAACATGGATGTATTTTTTCCATTATATTTGGAGCTATTTAATATCACTGTATTGAGTTTATACTATAGAATTACTAGGGAAAATGGGGAGTTATAATCCATGGTGTTTAAAGGTCAGGAAAAAAAATTCAGAAAAATAATTGAGATTTTCCATAGAGGAGACTACTTCTGATACACTGGCACTTACCAAAATAGTCAAAACAAACATTTGCAAACATTACATCTCTCTGGACCTTGCTTTACTTGAACCGTATAAAATGATATTTGGGTCTGATGGTTTCTGTGGTCCTTTTTAGCTTTTTTTTCCCAATGATTCTAGAATTTGGGGAACAGAAAGAGCCATATGAAAGTGATTTAATTCACAAAACAGGTAATCCTTGATAAAAATTGGCTTTTCACCAATTTACAATGTAGCAGTGCTCCCACACATACTGTAAACTAGCTTTGTTTCTTTAGTAGCCTTATTTGCAGATAGAGCAGACACATATGGGAGAGAAGGCTTAATTTAAGAGTGGTGTGTGGATATTTGTATAGAAAGCAATGAGCCTCAACCTCAGTTTTTTATTTTTAACATATTAAAAATTAGAGATGTATCATAATCCTAAGCATAAAACTAAACCCATAAATCTTTAAGAAGAAAACATAGAGGGAAATATGTGTGATTCAGTAGTAGGAAAAGTTTCTTAGACATGATTCACAGAATGATCACAGTAAAAGGAAATAATGAATGTATTAAGACTTCATTAAAATTTAAAAACTTGAGCTAACTTAAAGAAAATCACTTGGAGATTGAGTAGCCAAGCTAAAATCTGGGAGAAACTCATAAGACATGGACAGCCAATACAATCAGTTTGAGAAAGTCCTTATCGTTACTTAGAAAACTAAGTACACATCTATCCTATATGACCCAGCAATTCCATTCTTTGGTTTCCAACAGAACTGATATATATTCACAAAATGACGTGTACAAGAATGTCCACAGGACTATATAATAGGCTTCAAACTGGAGCAGTCTAAGTATTCACTAGAGGCAGGATAAATAAATTGGAGGACTACTCTGTATAAAAAAGAAAAACCATCATCATATGTAACAGTGGGGGTGAATCTCTAACACTGTGCTGAGTGAAAAGAAGCTTTATATAGTGTATGTGCCTATTCATATGAAGTTATAGAAAGGACAGAACTAATCTTGGTGGAAAACAAGATCAGATGCAATACTGTTTGCTTCTGGGGCTGGGGCAGGATTTAACCCAAAGGGGCTTGAGGGAACTTTCTGGGATATAGGAGAATTCTTTGTCTCCATCAGCATTTGATTACATAAGTGTGTTTGCCTTTTCCAAATCTAAGCAAATGTACATTTAAGATCTTTGTGCAATTCATTACACATAAATTTTACGTCAAAGAAAAAAATATAAGAAAATGTTGAATTCTAGCTATTGATAGGCCACCTGCAGAATTTGGGGGAAATTGTGCTGATGCCTGCAAATTACATTAAAATACATGAAAATGTAAGATGAGTTAATGGATTAATAGTGGGATGGATGGATGAATGAATGAAGGAATAGTAAAAATATTATTGAAACTATTTAGGTGGTGGTAATATAGGTGTTTGTTGGTATGTTCTTTCAAACTTTTTTGTATGTTTAAACATGCATATTTCAGACATGCCAAACAAAGTTCATGAACAATTTTCTTCCTACTAATTCTTTTTGTATTTTCTTAGAGTTGTTTTTTTTTTCAAATATAAAGTTTCCATTTAGATTTTCATTTCCTTTTTTTTTTTTGTTTCCAGTAGAAATAATCATCAAGTGTGTGTGTTTTCTTTAGAATTGCAGATGAGAAGATCAAGCCGACCAGACACTGATGCAGTCCTAGTTTTTGTGCTGACCATAGGAGTCATTATCTGTGTATTTGTGATCTTCGTATTGATCTTCATAATTATTAATTGGTAGGCGAATGCCCAGGATGCATTGTCACCTTTGATTGACATCCTCCTCATCTCCCCTTCCCTCATCTAGTGAAAAATCCTGGCCATGATGTCTCCAGCATGTGTCTTGAAATTGTCCAGCTCCCTTCATTCCTCCTGTGACAATGCTAGTTCAGGCTATCCCATCTCTTATGGGGATGCTTCTAAAAATGATCTTATGACTTTCTTCCCAGCCATGAGAGAGCGTTTAAATGCAATTCTTAGGAATTTATAAGGCAATTCCTTAAAAAAATATTTAATGAATATTTGTGTTGTTCAATTGTAGTTCTCATAACTTTAAAACTTGATTATTGTAATCTACTAATTCATTTATATGAAAATATATCTAATGTCTGTATGAGCATTAAACCCTGGTAAGTACAAGCATTCATCTACTAGCCCAATGCAGCTGGTACATTACAAACTAAAACTGAACCGTGAATAAAATACACATCTATATATAGAAAATGTAAATAGGAGTCTCATTTAGTTTTTGTTTTCACTTCATATTATGGTTTTTGTTTCGTTCTTGTTTTTTCCCCTTAGGGCAGCAGTGAAAGCTTTCTGGGGGGCGAAAGCCTCTACAACTGAGATACACTCAGAGCTGAGTTCTATGAGATACAAAGACTCAACTTCTCTTGACCAGTCACCAGCAGAAATACATGGACATGAAGATGATGCTTTAAGTGAATGGAATGAATGATGCATGGATGACATATGACAAACCAGAGGATATTAGAGAATATCAGATTTATTATTATAAAAATAAAATATATACTGAAATACTTTAATAACGTTGCAACAAATTTACCACAGTCTGGAACTAATTCAATGTGAGGATAGGCTCTTTAATCAGTGGCACACTTATTTGTGGTACAGTTATCAAAAGTTACTTTTAATTTGTTCTCAATATTTGCAATTTCAGGTAATAGCTTTGGGGATGTTTATCTAGAGGTGTATGTATATATATATATATATATATATATACATATATATATATATATATATATTTTTTCTCTCTTTATATATACACACACACACATTATATATATAATGTGTATATATATACACATATATTTTCAATCACTTTGATCATTTTTTAAATTATTTGCCCTTCTATCCTAAATAAGAGAATTGTAATATTAAACATGCCTTGGATATTAGAGTTTTTCCTCCTTGGGTGCACTGGATTGAACTTGCTAAAGTAAATCACACCTTAGAGTCTCTGCATTTGACATATACAAAGCATCACTTGTAAGACATGAAATAATGGTAATGACAACTGAGGCAGTGACTACTATGTGCCAAGCATTGCTCAAGGCATTTTATGTAAATATTAGATAATTTAATTATGGTTGTATAAAGGAAATATCTAAGAAAGAATAGAGAGGAACTTGGAAGTAGCTAGGAAGTAATATGAATTTAACAACCTGTATTTCTCACAGGAACAGTGAATTAAGGACTATTGAATGACTGCTGATAAGTACCTTCATTGCCCTTAGTATGGTTGATAACATCTCAGAGCCAAGATACTTATTTTAGAACATGATAACTGCCTTTTTGTGCTGACAAAGTCTTGATCAACTATTACACAAGATACCCAGATACTAGATAATTTGATTCAGTAGACTTCAGAAATTGCTTTTCAGAGGCTGTGATAGTAGCATAAAATGATTTAATTTTTTCTGTTTAGATGATTCTATGCCAACATCATTGATATTATTATGAGATTTATAGGATGCTACCATTAACTCTTTGCACACCTATGCAGAAGATATTTTAAGTGGGCATTTATGTTACACCTCCCTCCTATATTATAGAAATAGTATGCGTAAGGAAATTACCCATCATTGAGAACTTAATTCTCTTCCATAGTGGTTGTTAATTCACTCTAATGTTATGCAGCCAATAACTATATAAAGAAGTCAAGAGTTCCCAACAATGATCAAGATTGGTGAGCATACCTTAGGCGCCAACATCAGGTGATAAGGTGGTTGACAGACACAGGTTACAATTTTCTGTAGTCTTGGATGTGGTGTAGAATGAACCAGATAACATTATTGACCTTATTGAAATACATTCAGATTTCCTTCTGTTAACATAATGATAATGTTTCAATTCAAAATTATTTTCTCTCCAGAGTGCTTCTATATAATCTATATGTTCTCTGTTTCTGTCTTCTTGGTCTTTTAAAAATTGATGTCATTTTTCTATTTTGGTTTCACTTTATATTTTAAATCTGCTTCTTCAGGCATTTTTGTTTCATTCTGGAGGACAATCTTTTTGGAATTCATAACCCATCACTGTTGTGATCCACCATCTGTCTCAAAAAACATAGAATCCATTTACATGGTTATTTAGGCTTTGAGGTTTGTGCAATTTTATTATCTGTGATCATGTCGTTTGTATGATGGAAAACAGTTTGTCTTTGACAGTTTTCTGATTCTTGTTGAAAATAAAACTTGGTTGCTGAATATCAAGTTTTATTAACATTTAAAGGAAATAAAATGAAAAAAGGAAACCTTTTTCTGATACTCAACTTTAACATTTTGTGAAAATATCAAGTGTATTTAAATAAATGGTAGGTATTCAAGTATTTTTGCTTATTGAGAAGTTAAAATTAAGCAACAATTATTTAAATCATGCTCTTAGAGACCTACATATGAGTTTATTATTCTTTGTACCTATTTATAACTATCCTGAAATCAATCATTTTGGCTCTCTAATGTGTATTTTCACTAAAAAATGAAGTGCATTATACTAATCTGCTAAACGAATCTAGATTGAGAAAAGATTCAGAGGTGGAAATGCAAACTATTGCCTTCTATGATGACAGTAGAATATGTCCTTGAGAATGTTCCTTAGCTGGAAAGGAGTTTGTGTCGAGCTACCTATAATGCTCACTGATTTCTTATTCACTCAAATACATTCTTTTTTTTTTCTCCATGAGCATTGTTTGTTGAGGATAATAGAAACATCACAGCTCTCCTTCTGTACATTAATTTTCTCCCTTTTCTGGGAGATATGGGTTTCTTCCAGGCATTACTGAGAAAAAACTCAAGGTACTGTTAGACAAACCAGTTGGGGTTAAGCCCTCTCATCAGAGAGGCATTGTAAAATTTGTATTATTTATGCAGTACCCCAAGGTAACTTGAATATGTGCTTTACAAGGAATAGAAATCATCTGACAGTAATAAAATCATGTTCTTCCAGAACAAACAATTTAAGGCCCTAGAGGTATTAGGGACAAGAAAGAGTACAATGCAAGTGATACTCTTTTGTAAACTCTGGAGGAAAGCAACATGCAGCTCACAGTCATTGGAACTAACATGCCTTCATAAAGGAAGCAAATACACTGGGTTTCTTTGCTGCAGGACTAGGAGCGTGTCCATGTGCATCAATTGAGAGTCCTGCAGGGGAGGATGACGTGGGGTGTTGGCCTGAAGTTTTGAGAGCCTGAATTTGGTGGTTAATGATGCCAGAAGTGATGGGGGAGTGGGGGTCAGAGGAAGAGGGGGATGGGCTGTGGGATGGGGGCTGTGGGAAGGGTGTGGAAGAGTTACAGGCAGATGCAGAGTCGTGGGATCCTGGAAGGTGAAGAGAAGTCACAGCAGAGTGGGAGAAACATAGACTGAACAGCAGGAAAGGAAGATGGACTTGGCAGTAGCATTTGGCAAAGACTAGAGTTGAGAACTGATGAGAAAGAGGCCAGTGAAAAGGGTTTTGTGTAAATCAAGGCAGGATGTGATGAGTGTCTTGGCAGCAGAAAGAAATTAAAAACAGATTTAAGGGAAAAAATATTTTAAGTAAAGCTAGATATGAGGATATGCACGCACAGAGAACACGAACCCACAGCCAAGTAAGACTCTTCTCACCAACTTCCATGTCAAGTAGCATCTATTTTATCGAAGATCCTTCTTTGACCTTCAGTAGCACTGTTTTCTACCTATGTCTCTTTTCCTATGGTTTCAATCTTTCCTTTGGATGCCTCTAATTATATATCTCCAATCTGAACAGATCCTCAGAGCTTTAATTTTGGTTTTCTGCTGAATGGATATTTCCTCATGGTTGCACAGCTATCCTCTCAGAATATATAAAATGGAAATTTCCTTTAATTATAAATAAATAGTACCCCCTCCATTATTCATGCTCAAAACCTCATCCTTATGTATGCAAATAATCACCAAGGCCAGCAAGGTCTCCCCAGAATCCATTCTTTCCATCCCAGTTTGGGCTCACCTGTCCTTAACCATCATAGATCCTTTCTCTGCCAGCTGCCTCTGGCTATTCAGTGCCCCTGAATACAGATTTTAACACTGGTGAAAACATTGTTTCCATTTTCTGTGAGGAATTTTACTTAGCTTTCATTCAATGCTTCTTTGATTCTTTGACAGATTGATAGTGTTTTAGTTTTTTTGTTGTTGTTTTTTATATAAACAAAAGACCCGACAAGAACAATTAGAAGAGGAAAAGTACATTTGGGGGCTCAGTCTATAGATGGCCAACTCCATTTGACGGGCCTGAGGTAAGGCAGAAAATCATGGCGGAAGAGTGTGGTGGAGGAAAGCAGTTCAGCACATTATGCCAGAAATGAGAGAGCTATGCTCACCAAGGACAAAATATAAGCCCCAAAGCCACACCCCTAGGAACGTATTTTGTCCAGCCATACCCTACCTTGCCTATAGTTACCACTCAGTTAATCCCTATTGGCTTTAATTTACTAATTAGGTTAAAAATCTGATCATCCAGTCATTACACCTCTAAACTTTCTTGCATTGTCTCACACATGAGCTTTTGGGGGATACTGCACATCTAAACCATAACACATAGTGTAGTAGCCCTCGTGTATCTTTTTTTTTTTTTTAAAGAGAGAGAGAGAGAGAATTTTAATATTTTTTAGTTTTCGGCGGACACAACATCTTTGTTTGTATGTGATGCTGAGAATAGAACCCGGGCTGCACGCATGCCAGGCGAGCATGCTACCGCTTGAGCCACATCCCTAGCCCAACCCTTGTGTATCTTAAGTTTCAACAAAATCAATCCAATTCCCCTTCAAGCATATGTGCTATGCCTGCATCTTTGCTTTTATTTTTTCTTTAGGTGGGAATTCTAATTTTCTTTTTCCTTCTCTCACTTTTCATTTTCTGTTGAATCTCAATCCTAGCCACATGTTATGGGGCAGCCACTCAGAAAACACTCAAGTTCAAATTAGCCAATTTAAGAATTTTTATTATCTGGCCAGAGTCTGTCCTTCACAGAGTCCAATGACCCTATGGGAGAACAGCCCTGAATTGTCTGTAGCCAGAGTATTTAAGGAAGAAAACCATATCCTATGGAATCTGCGAGTTGCAAGCAAGCAGGATACAAGGACTGAGAAAGCAGTTAGCAGAGCAAAAGCAGACAACCACATCCTGGGTTAGAGCACATTTGTGGGTCTACATCCTGGGTTCGGATACCTCCATGGGCATATGAAGTACAGAAAAACAATTTTTTTTAACATCTTAAAAATATATGTCAGTTTCACACAGGAGTCATTAAAATGGAGTCACTATGACTATACCAAGCTATATTGATTTAACCGTATTAATCTTTATATTAACCTACTAGCCTATATTTATCTATAACTGTACTAGCCTACTGACTTATACTTATCGCCTCACATTGTTTTATATCTTATTTCCTGTAGCTTATATTCTATGTCTTACAGTTATATGATTAGCCTGCTATTTCTTATGCTTACTTCTAACTTATTACTAGGGCAGTTTAACATTACTCATCTCATAGTACTTAT